ATATAGACCGGGGGAATCCCCCCATCTCCCCACCCTCTGATTATGTATCATAACGTAACTACGTGTAAACGTTATTTGGCGGTTTTTACTTGGAAAACCAGGTATATTTTTGTGCTGTGCGAGAGCGCTTATTCTCTGCTGTCTTCACGTGCTATCAGAAACTTCCTATTTCCCACTTATTAAGTCGTGAGCGCTTCATGTGAGCACAGCTGCAGTCTTAGGCCCACCCCAAATGCTCTCATTGGTTGAGACGCATTATGACGCGATGATAATCACAGAATCTGTGATTATTTCAGTCCCGCGACCCTGAGAAAATATCTGTGTGATGGCTGTACCAACACATCTGAGTGGCGTAACACTGTAACTGTATATTTTTGTTTTCTCAAGCAAAGCAAATTTTAAAAGTCCACTGAAAACATATCTTCTTACATTTTTGGTCATAGACAACGTATGTTGAAGATATACGTTATTGTCAATGTTATTGCCCAAGCGGTAAAAAAAAAAGAAAAAAAAGTTTATTAAAAAGTGGGCTATATAAAATTTTAATAATAACAAACATCAATGTTCCCTTTGTTTTGCGTATGCTTGTGTCGCTTACAGTTAAAGTCAGTCGTGAGCGCTTCATGTGAGCACAGCTGCAGTCTTAGGCCCACCCCAAATGCTCTCATTGGTTGAGACGCATTATGACGCGATGATAATCACAGAATCTGTGATTATTTCAGTCCCGCGACCCTGAGAAAATATCTGTGTGATGGCTGTACCAACACATCTGAGTGGCGTGAGTCAGAGATTCACAGCAGCTGGAGGAAAACACACACACACACATACAATAATTGGGCTAGAACTGATGTGTTCTAGAGTTTTTGACTACTTAGTGCACAAGTGTGTGTGCAGGTTGCAACGTTACTTTGCAATTTTTTAAATATTTTTGGGGTATTTTGCATGGTCTGTTATTGGAGTAATGTCACCCGTGTGGGAGTTTTAACTCCTATTCACTGGGAATAAAAAAAATAATTTAGCTGATGCAGAGAGACATATAGACCGGGGGAATCCCCCATCTCCCCACCCTCTGATTACGTATCATAACGTAACTACGTGTAAACGTTATTTGGCGGCTTTACTTGGAAAACCAGCTATATTTTTCTTGCATTCGAATAAAAATGGATAAACCTGAAATAATAGAAGAAGGAGGGGAGATGAATTTAATTTAATAATCACAGAATCTGTGATTATTTCAGTCCCGCGACCCTGAGAAAATATCTGTGTGATGGCTGTACCAACACATCTGAGTGGCGTGAGTCAGAGATTCACAGCAGCTGGAGGAAAACACACACACACACATACAATAATTGGGCTAGAACTGATGTGTTCTAGAGTTTTTGACTACTTAGTGCACAAGTGTGTGTGGCAATGTTATTTTAGTATTTTTTTTTCTTTCTATTTTGTTTTTATTTTTATTGTATTAACTTTAGTTACATTTTTTGTAATTTGGTTGTGTTTGATATTTCTTATTTATTGATTGATTGATTTTTTTTTTTTTAAATATGTCTATATAGTTTTTATAAAGTTTTATGTCAGGTTTTAGTTGGTTGTGTTAAAATGTAATGCCATTTTACATTGCAGATTAAACATTAAATTAATACAATACAATAAAAAACAAACATTTTTAAAAAATTAAATTTTAAATGTACTTGCGATAAAATTGTATAAGTTTTTCCGTGTTCATCTTACAAAATAAGTCCTAAAAATTTTTTCCCTGGTAAAAATCGCATCATTTTATGTCAGTTTTAGTAATATTGTACTTCAAATTAGACTAAACGAAAATGAGAAATGTTGCCTTGGCAACTAGCTGAAATATAACTAGTTTTATACTTTTTTCAGGTTATGTTTATTTCAAGTATATGTGTTTTATGTGTTTTAATAACTCACTGTGTTGTGATGGTTATGGGAGAACGGACATGTCTCATATCTAAGGCCTTGAGGAAAGTATAACACTTCATCGTTAACAAAAAACTAAAAGAGTTTTATTAGATAAGACCAAGGACGATCCGTCAATGTCACTCTGTCAAGACTTGTGAGTTTCTCAGACAAGTATAGCACAACTGTCACTTTATATAACATCTCTACTCGACAGACTCATTGTCTCGGCTTTGTTTAGCTGGACTGGAAGAAAAAAAGTGAATAGAAATTATGATGGAAGACCCCCTAAAACAGCTTAATAAATGCAGTTTTCTATGTTGGTCTACTGCCATTTGGACTTTTCTAGGATGGGCGGGATGAATCACAAACCTTTTTATAAAATGCTATTTGTTATTTAAAGACATTCCCGGTCCAGAAAGCAGTTTTATTGGAAAAAACTGTGCATACGCCCCTGCAGAATACGTAAAAACATCAATATTTTTGGTGTGTTTTTCTCTGAAGAGAAAGACTGCAACATTTTAAATGCGCATATGCTTTAAAAAAGTATTTTCGAAGATGTAAATATAACAAAGTTGGAGTATGTTTTATAAGGAAATATTATTTAGGTCCTTTTACTTTAAAATTTCACAATTCAATGTGTTATTTGCGGTTCATTTGTGAAATTCACTAGTAATTTCTGAGGTAAAATTGCTTCAAAATAAATTTTACAGAAATTTTTTTTTTTTTCAGTGTATCTGCTAAAAAGTTTATTTTATTATTTTTCAGACGTAATTTATTGTATAGATGATCTCAAAGCAACACCCACTGACAACTTAAGACATTTTAGCCCAGTTTAATAACAGCAGGCGACTCTTTCCTACTATATGAGTCACGTAAGAGGCTTTAATAAAGGAAAATTGTGCTTTTTACTGACAGAATGGGACTGTTTTCAAGCGTCTTCATCAAGTCTCAAGATTATAGCATTATAGTCTCACCTGATGTTTTTGGATCAAGCGAACTGCGGATGTAAATGACGACCCATTGATCAGGTAAACAAGTCTATTGTTTCCCGTTTCTCCTCCGCAAACCGGGCCAAGCATTGTGTTCATCTTGGAAAAACAAGCCACTTCAAGAGCTCTTCAACATGTTAATCATACACAGAAAAATCCACACGTCCTCAACCTGATGAGAGCATCAGCATAACTCGTCTATTAGCATATTAGCCACCTATTCTGCGCCGCATAAATCTGCATTAACCACGCTTTCATTTAACAACAGGCTCAAGTGTGTCAGGATGTAGATTTACTTCACAATCTGACTGGAACTGGAAAAACTATCCTATTTATTAAAGTGCACACACACACACACACACACACACTCGTCTGGTTTGCTATCCTTGTGGGGACTCTCCATAGGCGTAATGGTTTTTCTACTGTACAGACCGTATATTCTATTGCCCTACACCAACCCTACCCCTAAACCTACCCCTCACAGGAAACTTTCTGCATTTTTAGATTTTCAAAAAACTTCATTCTGTGTGATTTATTAGCTTGTTTACCCATGGGGACCGCAATTTAGGTCCCCACCGTGACACGAGTCCCCATGAGTCTGTGTGTATTCAGGTTTAAGTCCCCACCAGAATAGAAAAACAGGTACACACACACTCTCTCTCTTTATCAGTGAGATTCAAGAGTAATTATTCAGTCACTGGATATCTAGTCTCTGACTTCAAGACTGTCCTTAAAAAAAAAAACAATAAGCAT